GGGGGGGGAAGAGGAAAAAAATGAAAAAGGGAATGGGGTAAAGAGGAACGATAAAAGAAGTTAACATCAATATCAATAAGAGTGATAAAAATTTTACTTGGTAAGCATTTTAAATTTATTTGTATGAAAGTTAAAAATTATAGTTCTTTACCTCAAATCTGAGTCTTAGAAGAAAGTATCATTAATGGAGTATTATGGAACCGCAACAGATAGTCCATGATATTTTCATTGAAGACCCTAAGCAATAAGCATCTCATTGGAGCCCACGAGATTTTAGTTTATGAGGTTGGTTTAAAAGTTTAGTTTATGAGTTTAGTTTATGAGGTTAGTTTGTGAGGTTAGTTTGAGGTTAGTTTGCGTGGTTATCTTGTAAGATTAGTTTATGAGTTTAGTTTATGAGGTTAGTTTATGAGGTTAGTTTGAGGTTAGTTTGTAAGGTTAGTTTGTGAGGTTAGTTTGTGAGGTTTGTTTGTAAGGTTATAGTTTGTGAGGTTAGTTTGTGAGGTTTGTTTGTAAGGTTAGATTATGTGGCTAGTTTGTTAGTAAAATTTGTGAAGTGAAGTTTGAAATCTGTTTTAAGTTAAAAATTGTTTTTTCAAATTTTAATGCAAGCGTAGCTAGCTATCAAATCATATATTTGCTTTAATTTACGTATTAATTCGAGCACATTTAATCCTTAGTTTTTTAGTATTATAGCAGAGTAGTACGTATTGGATTAAACACTTGGATTCCCCCTCTCTCTCTCTTCAGCAGTCCCTCCCTCCCCTCTCAGTATAAAATCTGTATATTGTATTAGTAAACCTAAATAGAAGAATTTTATCCGTAGATAACTTTCAACATTAATCCTCTGGTCCTCATTGATCAAATCCACCGCCAAGCCGGGAACTCTTCCTCTCATTGGTTGCTAATCTCCGTTCTGATTTTTCATTGGTCGAGAAATTTCGCGCATTTCTTTTGGCGGAGAGTGTAACGGAAATGCACGAGGGCAGATGGGTTGTACTCAAATAATGGATAAATTCGAGTATTTTTGGATCGATCATATTCAATAGTTAACCCCCGCCTCTATACATAGTATAATATGTATGGCAGAAATGTACAAATAAGCGTACAGGGTGATGCTATACTGTCGATATTTTCGATCCATGATGTTATGTGTCATGTATATTATATATTATAAGGGCTCGCGCACAAAAATAATTAAATTATTGATTTATGCTCAATATTGTACTGCACTTAAAACAATCAATGTGCTTTGTAATTCTCTTTAATTTTTGGTTCTTTTTGTTCTATGCTCTTTTGGTTTATATTTGTTCTCTATGGTCTCTATATCTCTATGTTCTGTTCTCTAATTTATCTGTATTCCCATAATCCCATATGCTTTTAGCAATGTTCTTTCTGATTTTTCTAAAATTCATATTTTATGAACGATCTTTATGTTCATCTTGTTCTCAATATGTTCTTTCTGTTCTCTATGCTCTTTCTGTTCTTCGTGTTCTTTCTAGTTTTTCTGTGCTCTGTGCTTTCAATGTTATTTACGTTCTCTCTATTCTTTATGTTCTGTATTTTCCCTTTGCTCACTATGGGTTCTGTTCTCTATTTGCTTTATGTTATCTATTTTTCCGTTCTCTTGTTTTTGTGGTATCTATGTTCTCACTGTTCTTTATGTTTTCTTCGTTCTCCATAGCTCTATTTTCTCGTAGTTTTCTAGATGTTCTCTCCGTTCTGTCTGATATATGTTCTTCATATATTTTATGTTCTCGAAGTTCTCTATATTCTTAATGTTTTTTTGTTCTCTATGTTCTCTATGTTCTCTATGTTTTCTATGTTCTCTATGTTCTCTATGTTCTCTATATTTTCTATGTTCTCTATGTTCTCTATGTTCTCATGTTCTCTATGTTTTCTATGTTGTCTATGTTCTCTATGTTTTCTTTGTTCTCTTTGTTCTCTTGTCTTCTTTGTTCTCTATATCATCCATGTTCTCTTTATTCTCTATGTTCGCTTTGTCCTCTATGTTATCCAAGACCTTTATGTTCCCTATGTTCTCTATGTTCTCTATGTTCTCTATGTTCTTTATGTTTTCTTTGTTCTCTATGTTCTCTATGTTCTCTGTGTTCTCTATATTCTCTATGTTTTCTTTGTTCTCTATGTTATCTATGTTCTCTTTGTTCTCTATGTTCACTTTGTCCTCTATTTATCCATGACCTTTATGTTCTCTATGTTCTCTTTGTTCTTTCTGTTCGCTATGTTCTCTATGGCTAAAAGAAATCTTGTATTATGCTAACAGCTGTATTTAACAGAGACTAGATATTACACTTAATGTTTTTAACAATAATAATTTTCATTGATTATTATAATAAGATGGTATTAAAACTGAAATTGAATTTTCTACATTCTAGAATTAGTTTTAGTTCAATAAATTGAATACAAGAAAAAAATATTTTTTTGGATTTAAATATACCTTTTGACAACATAGAATATTTGGCACTTCTAATACATTTAGATTTTTTCTCCCCATATTACTTTTAATTTTTAAAATGTTAACATAACATATTGTAACCCCTTTACATTGCCATCCCCCACCCTCACTTTTATTATGAAATTCGGAAAAAATTACTTATTTCCCTGATTTTCCAATCTCAAAGTTTCCCAGATTTTCGCTCCATTGTTTTATTTATTGTGTTGATTCAGCAGAAACGAAAGTTTTCAACGATCACGAAGTTTGTGGATAATATCCTTGTATTCTCTACTCAAACGCACAAATTACTCTTTATTGAAAAATATATCTTGTTATGATTTCTTCATCTCAAATATAAAATATGTTTGCTTCCATTTTTCTTCCATTGTTTTTTTTTTTCTCGAATAACATAAAGTTTCATAGGAACTATATCTTTCAGTTATAGGAATTGAGTCTTTCCCGCAAACTCTGATTTTCTAATGCCTTTATCTTTTCAACCAAATGTCGTAGACCGTAGATATTTAAAACTATAAATTCTGTTAGATCAAATAAAAGATTTACAATAATAATAAATTATGAAAGATTTACACGATCAGGATGCTATCATATAGGGGTTAGAAAATTTGAGCTCGTGGCAAAGACTGAATTCCTTATGTCAATAAAGTTTATGTACATGAAAATTAGCATGTAATTGCTTGTGTTAATCAAGATAAATTAACTACTGAATGCTTGCGTGCTTTAGTTTAAATAATCATCTAACTGGGTTTATCTAAGCCTCTAAAATGGGCGACGGCTTAAGTTTTGCAGACATTTGAAGTACTGTTTGTTCATTATCAAAATTTGATGTGTTTTTTTCGAATTAAATTAAAGAGTTTTTTTAGAAAACAAACCTGAAATTGATGAAACACTTGCCTCAGAAACAGTACTCGTATAGGCAAATGCTTTGTTAAATTTGGTTGAAGCAGGTTTTTGTCTTTTAAGAAAAAATAGATATCGAAATATAAACAATACTGATCAATTCATGACTGAATTATGGGTTGTCCAATTCCATTGAAAATATCGAAAAAAACTTTTTCTTTCTGAATTTTTTCGTAGGTTTTGAAAATTTTAATTTCCGCAATAAGAGTCCCAAAAATAAATGTGTTTTTTCTTCAACAAGGACGAACTTAAAAGTTTTCACCAAAGATTGACAGATATATATTCACCAGAGTTTAGATTTATGAAGGTTTTGTGAGAAGGCGGAGAGGAGGGAAGGTGAATGAAGAAGGTGTGAACCTGCTGATGATACGGGGGGAAGGAGAGGGTGTGGAAAGGGAAGGGAATGAAAAGGGAAGGGTTGAGGAAGTCCGAACCCTGCCAGGTGTGCCTGGGCAAGTAAAGCTTCTTGTTTGGTTGTTAAGGATGGATAGTTTAAACCTTCTCTAACAAGAACAGGAACAGAGACCCTTCTAGGGGAGAGCCCGGAGCCCCAGTTCTCCAATCCTTTCTCATGAATAGCTTTCTTCGTCTTGTACCGATGGTTTTGAAACCAAATTTTTATCTAAAATAAAAAAAAATCGAATTCAAGCAAATATTGCTTGTTGATCTCTACCATTTTATCTTATGTATTCAAACTCCCCACTTTGATTGCAAACAAAACCTAAACTTTGCTTACAATCTGATCCTACCCTTGATCCTACCCTTTATCCTACCCTTGATCCTACCCTTGATCCTAATCTTGATCCTATCCTTGATCCTGCCCTTGATCCTAATCTTGATCCTATCCTTGATCCTAACCTTGATCCTACCCTTGATCCTACCCTTTATCCTACCCTTAAAGGGACAGTAAAGGGAAAATGAAAGGGGGTATAGGCTGAAAGCTAACCACGTTAGCTCTTGATCGCGACCCATGAAAGTTATATCTGATGTTCCTATCTCGAGAAATTGATATAAAACTATGTTAAAATTATATGAAAATTCATATATTTAAAATTTTGAAAATCTGAAACTTAAATCACGTGACCAGAACTATCACCAATGGCAGAGCAGTATACTGGTCACGTGTCTCCGCCTGTATCACGTGACCACTTTACTGCACTGCCATTGGTGGAATTTCTGGTCAAGTAATACGGACGTAAAAATAATATTATGAATGAAATCTATTGAAAATAGAAACAACAAATGTAAAAGTAAACCTAAATTACAATTAGCTTTCTATGGGATATCATCTTTTTCAGATTGGTGTTTTTCTGAGCATGGTCTGTTTAAACCTACTATTTCTATACGAAATTGTATATATATGCATTTTCGTAAAGTTTGAAACAGCTTTATATCAACTCTCGAGTTAGGAACTTCAGTCTTTCAATTTCAACACTTTTGATGCTTTGACCGTGTAGTAAAGCATCCAAAGTGTAATTTGAAAGCATCATAATCAACATTTGAAAGCATCATAAGCAAGGAGCAATCAAATTTGATGCCTTAATCACTTTTTTTAAAGAAAATATTAACTTCCCAGTCAAATTATGACTTCATAAGCTAAGAATTAGGAAGCATTGTTTTTCCCTGTGCTTTTCATACTTAGAATGTGTCTTAGACAAAACTTTGACTTAGAAAAGTGTCTTAGACATGATTAGGTCTATTGAGTTTGTCTTCAAATGGTGACTTATATCTTGAAATGACATTTTTGATGTTTCCTTATATGTTAAAGATATTTTAGAGATTTCCGCAGCTTGGGTTATGTTAGGTTACACAAAGCATCACAAATTACATGTGAAAGCATCATAATTGTCCTAATTGATAAAAAATAGATAAGGCGTCTCAAGGGTTTCGATGAAAAGCTAAAGTGATTAGCTTTCAGCCTATACCCCCTTTCATTTTTCCTTTACTGTCCCTTTAATCCTAATCTTGATCCTAAACTTGATCCTACCCTTGATCCTATCCTTGATCCTACCCTTGATCCTACCCTTGATCCTAAACTTGATTGATCCTATCCTTGATCCTACCATTAATCCTACCCTTGATCCTTCACTTGCTCCTTATCTTGCCACTTTCCATTACTCTAACCTTGACCCTAACCTTGACCCTAACCTTGACCCTAACCTTGACCCTAACCTTGACCCTAACCTTGACCCTAACTTTGACCCTAACCTTTACCCTGACCTTGACTCTAACCTTGTCCCTAACCTTGACCCTAAACTTGACCATAACCTTGACCTTAACCTTGTCTCTAACCTTGACTCTAACCTTGACCCTAACCTTGGCCCTAACCTTGGCCCTTACCTGGACCCTAACCTTGACCCGAACCTTGACCCTAACCTTGCCCTAATCTTGACCCTAAACTGGATTTATACCCTTGAAATAAAATTTTACCTTAAATCTTACCTAACCTTGAACCATGAAAATAGCCTTGACCATAATTTTAACCTTTGACTCTAGATATTCCTTTACCTTGAGATATGCCTTATCCTTGCTTCGTGGCGGCTAGATATCCTCTAACCTTGCCCCTTAATCCTGAAATATTCCTAACCTTTTCCTTTGACCTTAATATATCCCCCTAACTGTCCCTTGGCCCTAAGATCCTAGAATCCGAACCTGTGTAGGTGTAAGGTTCAGCATATTAGCTAAATGTTCTCTCTCTGGAGCAGATAGATACCGCTGTTGTCTAAACCTTCTCTCTAGTTCATAGGTCTGAGCTTTGGAAAACAGAACACGACGTTTCTTCTTCTTTCCTAGATTACAGTTCATTTTCAAAATTATGGAATAACATTAACATGTCTTATAATATTAATAATGATGATAATAATAATAATAATAATGATAATAATAATGTATAATAATGATAATAATATTAATAATAATAATTGTAATAAATTAAATTTACCTGAATGAGAAAGGTGTCCAGATTCCTGATCATCCGACCCGTCTACATCTATACCCTCCTCCTCCTCCTCCTCATACTCATCCTCTCCTCCCTCACCAGGCTGCCCAGGCAAGGGGAGGGAGAGTAGGTCAGGGAGGGATCCCTCATCCCGTCCTCTCCCATCCTCGTCCTCGTCCTCCTTTTTTATACAACTCACTAAACAAAACGAAAATAATTTTTTTTCAAATTTTTCCATCCAGGTATAAATCTTATACTTTATTGTATCTTTCGTTTATAACATATGACAAGGTAAACCTTAGAAAACCTTTAAAAAGAAATGAGTCTTTGCCACAACCTCAAATTTTCTAATCCCTGTCTTAGCGACCTGCAAACCTTTTTTATTTCAAAATAGATGTTTGATATTACTAAATTCAAATACTTAAGTCGGGTTGCAAAGATATAGGGATTAGAAAATCAGAGTTTTTGGCAAAGATTCAATCAATCATTTTAATCGAAAAAGTAAAGAAAGCATTTCTGGAGAAGCTTATTACCATTTACTGAAAAAGATATAATTGCCCTTATAAAGAAATAGTGTCATAAACGATTAACGTTGATTAAACGTTTCTCTAACACATGAATGACAGTGAAACGTTTTTCTTTCAATATAAACCTAAAACTTTGTGCATGTCTACTGCAAAAATGTATGAAAAATAAAGAGGAATGGTTAAATTAATGGTAAAACAATGAAAAACAAATCTTTCATAGTTTTTCAGATAACAGTGTTTTTAATCGATAACTGTAAGCATGATTAAAATTATTGAAAACACACAAAAAGTTTAGTTGCGTTGAACAACAAGGAGGAAAAACTATATTATATTCTAAAGTTAAATTGTTTCTAAGGATTGAATTTGTTTTTTGTATTGCTTATTTAAAGGAACTGAATTATTGAAATCAAAGTAAAACTAACCATACCAGATGCACAACGGTACCCTTGAAACCTCATCTGCACTGTGAACTAGACTTTGTGACGTCGTAGCATCTCTAGTTTCAATTTGACGTACATGTATGACAAACCAAATTTTATTTGGTTAAAGGGACAGATTGGCTATGTAAGGTAGTGGAACTGTTGTGGACAAATTCTTTAGGATCAGTAAATGGAAATATTTATTTCTACTGAAATTATAGTGCATTATGAATAGTGCATAGCCATTACGCTTACAGGCCCTTTCATATTTATGTTTTTCTTGTTATTATTCGTGTACTTAAAGAACTTATTCTATAACAAACATAATACCCCAACTTTTTTCATTTAAAATTTAACCTAAGCCTATCTTACTTGCTCTCAGTAAGCGCGCTTTGCTCAAAGTTGTTCCATATATTCAAAACTCTGATGAAATGTTAAAAACCAGGGTTACGAAAAAGAAAATATTCCATTTATCAAAGATGCGTATTTAAGTTGTGTTTCCAAAAGCGGGTTATTATGAGAAATATGCGAACACTCCATTTAAAACTTACAGTTATGATGCGAGAAGATCGGAGATATCATCGGCCAGGAGGTAACGCCCAGGCTGCCACGCCCATGGTTTAGGGCGGAACCCGTGTAGGAGGGCTGAGCAGGAGAAGAGGCGGGACAGGGGTTGGATAACCGACTAAAGGATGAATCTATCTCAGGTTTACGGTCAGTCTCGAGGTCGATATTCGAGGCTGATCTTGCTAGATCTGTCTTGAGGTGACCGGCTTGTGTCCTGGATTTGAGGTCAAGCTGACCCTCCTGAGGTCGAGGAAGGTCTAGAATGTCACGGACTGAAAAACTACTTGATTTCGGCATTCTCATAGACAGCAATCTGAAAACACAAAATAAAATTTAAATTGAATAATCATATTTTTAACTCAAATAAAAAAAATCCATCCGAAATAATTCAGTTCTAGTTTAAAAATATTCCAGATAATCAAAATAGGTTTTTAATATGTAATTTCGTCTGACTGCGATTGACATTAATGTTAACTGTTTAATAAATTCAAACTTTTGCTTGGAAAAAGTGAGTGGAAATTTTTTTTGTTAAATAATCATCGTAAATTTAATGAAATTGAGTCTTTGCCAATAGCTCAAAATCCGTATATCTTTGAAAACTAATGTCAAGGACCTTAAATATTTCAAATTATTAATTATTCTAGACTAAATAACTTAAGTTTGAAATTTCAAAGGTTTACATTATTAGGTTGCGAAGATATAGGGATTAGAAAAAATTTGAGTTTGTGGCAAAACTAAAATTCTTTTAAAGGAACTGTGAGCAAAATTTTAAGTTTCCCCTCGTTATGATCAACGTGATTATTAAAACCTTAATTTAATCAAAAATGTGGAAGATATCGTAATTTTTCTGACTTGAAAATTGTTTAATTCTGATAATGTCTTCATAGCTTTTTACACGCAAGAATTGCGCATTGTGCAAGTTACTTTGGCAGAGAAACTGCAAATGAAAATGAACATTTTAAAGAAACAAGAACAGGGATATCTCGTCTTTACTTGATGAGACAAGAACAGGGATATCTCGTCTTTACTTGATCAGATAATTCTTTTAAGGGCATCGTTGTAAATTGGACATTGCCATCTGTGCATGGACTGGAGGGACACATAAAATTGCGCTTATAGTCCCTTTAAATGTGCTTATACTTATTAACAGTTTATAAAAAAAGATAAAAATAATCATCCAAAAAAGAATTTCACTTTTGGTTTAAACAGTAGAACTAAAAGTACTGAACAAAGTACCTTAGCAGTAACACTGGTGTCAAAATGATCCAGATAAAAAATTCAAGAACCATCTGTTTTGTGTGGAAATTGTACCAAATAGTTTTGCACAAAGATTATTTTAACTTTACCTTTTATTTATAAAAAAAGAGAACTTACTTTTGTACAAAATATAGGCCTTGTGCATAGTGTTGAAGGTTTGTTGGTTCAAGCTCTTTTTCCGGCCTATTCAAGTAGTTTTCAGGCCTATTCAAGAAGTTTTCGGACCGATTCACTTGTCTCTCAAAATGACCTAATTCGCCTTTAATTCTATGCAATCCTAAGTCTAAATTGTTCAATGAACTCACTGAAGAGTGCCGAAAATTTTTTAAGTCTTTTAAGTCTGTTGAGGAAGATTCTAAAGTTAGACACCCGTTTTGAGATCCAGGCACTTTCAGGCAGTCCACAGATGAGCCTTGTACACTGCCTCGGTCAGACATTAAAGCTGCTTTAATTCACTGCCTAGTTCTCAGCCTGGCCTGGCTTTGTTGCATAAATTAGCCGAGTTTGTTGATTTAATTAAGTTTTTATGGTTTGTGGGTTGAAGAACGTACTTTAGCTCGCAGCAGCAAACCCTTACCAACTAAAGAGCTCTTCTCTCCCCTCCCACCCTCGGCCCCTCAAAACTCAAGTTCCCACATTTTCACTCAAGAGGCGGCACTTGTGTCCTCCAGCCAATCAGAGAGCGCCATTCCAACAGCCCATCAGCTGTCAACCAATTAGAAGCCGAGATTCTGGGTGCTCTCCAAATGACATTATACTGTGGACCAATGAGAGCTGAGAGGTGAGAGCAGAGCGCGGATTTCTATTTCTAACCTGTCTCATGCCCTTTGATAAATCAACGTTTATATTGTTCGTATCTGAAGCCGGCCCTGGGGGAAAAAACTGACAGGGAAACACAAAGGGAAAATTTATTACAGTGATGCATTTTACATTTTTAATATTTTTCTTTCTCGATCTTTATTATGAAATCTTGTTCAAGACCTTTACATGCTACATTTACGTATCTCTTTATAAGAAAATAATCTTTTTTTATGTTTCCTCTCGTTATTCCTATACTTCCTCCCTTTTTTCTTTTTATTTCCAAGTATTGAAATCTGTAATATCATCTTTTTTTCTGCTCTTCATATTTTGTTCTTCCCTTCTCTCTTTCTCTTTGTCTGCTTTCTTTCTTCCATATTTTTTGTTTCCTTCTTTTCCTTCTTTTCCTTTTTTTCTTTCTTTTCCTTCTTTTCCTTCTATTCCTCCTTTTCCTTCTTTTCCTTCTTTTCCTTCTTTTCCTTTCTTTTCCTTCTTTTACTTCTTTTCCTTCTATTCCTTCTCCGCCTTCTTTTCCTTCTCCGCCTTCTTTTCCTTCTTCTCCTTCTTTTCCTTCTTTTCTTCTTTTCCTTCTTTTCCTTTCTTTTCCTTTCTTTTCCTTCTTTTCCTTCTTTTCTTCTTTTCCTTTCTTTTCCTTCTCTTCCTTCTTTTCCTTCTTTTCCTTCTCCGCCTTCTTTTCCTTCTTTTCCTTCTTTTCCTTCTTTTCCTTTTTTTCCTTCTTTTCCTTACTTATTTTTTCTTCTTATAATAGCATGTCAAATTAAATTAGGAAAAAGAATATTAATTCTACTATATCAAATAATCTAAATATAAAATATCTAAGGTTTACACCATCAGGTTGCAAAAATATAGCGCTTACAAATTTGAGTATTTTGAAACTCCTTTACATTATATTGAAATCTGACATAAATCCTCTTCTAGAAAAGAAATTAAGAAATTAAGAAAAGAAAAAGTTTTGAATCAAATCATTTTTTGATTTTCTCTCACGTTGGCGTAAAATAAAAAATGACAGAAGGTCCGAGGTCACAAATTGTACAATAAACCTATCATAAATTTGAACTTCTTCTTTTTTTCTACTTTTTTTTAAAAGCTTTATCAGATTCTTATTCCTTTCTTCTCTCTTCCATTTCAGTTGTTGTCTAGTTTCTTCCTTCTCTCTTTCTCTTGGTCTATCCTTCTCTTCTTCCTTCCTTCCCTCCTTTTCTTATTCTTCCTTCTCTTCTTTCTTCCTTCTCTTATTTCTTTCTTCTCTCCTTCTCTTCTTTCTTCCTTCACTTCTTCTTTTTTTTCTCCTTATCTTCTTTCTTACTTCTCTTCTTCTCTTTTTTCTTCCTTCTCTCCTTATCTCTTCTTTCTTACTTTTCTTCTTCTTATTTTTCATCCTTCTCTCCTTCTCTCCTTCTCTTCTTTCTTTCATCCTTCTTATTATTTTTTCTTCCTTTTCATATTTTCTTTTCCCTTCATTTCAATTCTTTTTTCATCTTTCCCTGTCATCTTAAATTAATAATATTCCGTATGGAAGCGTGTGGAGTTTTATACTCCTCCCTTCTCACAACCCNAAGGTTTAAAGGAGGATTGGACACACTACTGCTGAACTCAAACTAACCCCGACAATTCATTTTACAAATATACGCCAATTCACGCTCAATACCGTTTACACTCTTTTTTGGGAGAAGAGATGGCTGGGGCCGGGGATAGGTGTTATTGGAATAGGTGCTATTGGGGAGGTGCTATTGGGGAGGTGTTATTGGTATAACGGGAAGTGATTGTTATTATGAAGAGAAGTTTTGGTTTTAAATCTCTATTGCAACTCTAAAAAAAATATTAAAAAATATAATCAAAGTTATTATGAAACATTAAATATATACGAATGCGTCGAAAAATAATCGATGACTATTGTTTCTAATATCTGAATGATTTGTTTGGAATTAAATTGATTTTTTACGATCCGAGTTGAATGTTGCAACTTTCTGAATTTGTATGGACGCTACGCTAGACGCAAAAGATAGATGTAAGATTAGTAGCGATTGAAAACGCTTAGTGTTCGCCGTAAGCCCCTTTCATTTTTTCGCGAACACTGCCTTTAATGAAAATGACACACACTTTTAGTCGCATATATTTTACAAACAATGAGCATATTGCGAATATAAAATGCTAAATTTTTAAATAATAAGATAATTATTAATCGGGTCCCAAAAAAATACGCCAAAGTTAATTTGATTCAAAAAAGGGTAATAAAATCTGTTAAAATGGCAACCCTTTATTTTTACTTACTTACTCCCATTAGCTCATACAGGCAGTCAACCATGGTCTAGGTAAGGTTATATGTCGGATGTGTATTGTGGGAGTATAACTTGTAAACTTTAAACAGATTTGCGGAGAATATATTTGAAATAGAACAAGACACATGTTTTTCCTTCTCCTACTTTGTTTCTTCTTGGTTTTCTTGTTCTTTAAGTTTGTCTTGTTCTTGTTCTTTTTGTTCATATTCTGTTCCTACTTTTCTTGTTCTTGTTTCGGTTAGTGTCCTTGTTCTTTTTGTTGATCTTTTTCTTCTTGTTTTCTTTTTCCTCTTGTTCTTACTGTTCTCTCCTTTCCCTTCTAGTTATTCTTGTTCCTCTTGTTTTTCTTGTTCTTCTTGTTCGCCTTGTTCTCCTTGTTTTTCGTTCTTCTTGCTCTTCTTCATCTTCTTGTTCTTCTTGTACTTCTAGTTGTTTTATTTCTTCTTGTTCTTCTTGTGCTTCTTGATCTTCTTGTGCTTCTTGGTCTTCTTATTCTAAGTATTCTTGTGTTCTTTTTGTGTTCTCGTTCTTCTTTTGTTATCGTTCTTCTCGTTTTTCTTGCTACTTTTGTTCTTATTGTTGTTTTTGTTCGTTATGTGCTTCTTGGTCTTCTTGTTCTTTTCGTTCTTCTTGGTCTTCTTATTCTAAGTATTCTTGTGTTCTTTTTGTGTTCTCGTTCTTCTTTTATTATCGTTCTTCTCGTTTTTCTTGCTATTTTTGTTCTTATTGTTGTTTTTGTTCGTTTTGTGCTTCTTGGTCTTCTTGTTCTTTTCGTTCTTCTTGTTCTTCTTATTCTAAGTATTCTTGTGTTTTAGTTCTTCTTGGTCTTTATGTTCTCTTTGTTCTTTCTTTTCTTTTTATTCTAAATATTCTTGCGCGTTCTTCTTGTGTTTTTGTTCTTTTTATACTTCTTGTTTTTCTTGTTCTTCTTGTTTTTTGTTCTTATTGTTCTTCTTGTTCTTCTTATTCTTCTTGTTCTTCTTGTTCTTCTTGTTCTTCTTTTTCTTCTTGTTCTTCTTGTTCTTCTTGTTATTCTTGTTCTTCTTGTTTTCTTGTTCTTCTTGTTCTTCTTTTTCTTCTTGTTCTTCTTGTTTTTCTTGTTATTCTTGTTCTTCTTGTTCATCTTGTTCTTCTTGTTTTTCATGTTCTTCTTGTTCTTCTTGTTTTTCTCGTTCTTCTTGTTTTTCTTGTTCTCTTGTTCTTATTCACTCCGGACTAACCAGAGTTATAGGCATTCGGTTTCTTCTATTTGAAGTCATACGCGTTTTGGTTTATATTTTAGCAATCTTTAAACTTACGGATTTGTTAGTTTAATACTTTTTATTCAAAATGTATATGCCAGCAAAAACAGTATTTAAGAAAGAAGGCTGAAAAATTATGTTTAATAGGAGAAATTGGGTTCGAAAGTCATAGCTTTCTGGAATATTGACAGAACCGATAAATCCACGTGTATTGTTCTTGTATGGACTGATAGGTCTGTTTAAAAATTAACGAACATAGTAAGACATGCGAATTAGGGTTATTACGATATTTATTACACTCTCATAATTTTGATATTTTTAACCATCTTTTTCGCATATTTCATTTTCCTTCTCATCTTTCTCCTCATTTCTTTCCTGTCCTCCCCATCTCCTTCAAACTTTTCCACAGCATGAGCAGCAGGTGTGAAAGTGGGCGTGGTGAGAGGCGTGTCAGTATAGAAGGTTTCAGGATTTAAACCTATACATTTCAGATTTTATTATGAGAACCCTGGCCACTAAAGAAATATTGTAGTATATCCTATTATTATAATTTATACCTTAGTATACAATATCTAAACTAAAAATATGTGCATTCAAGGGTGTAATGCAAGGAAAGTTAATTGCGGTTGCGTATACTCTGCGTACATATTAAAACCAGTTCTCTTTGGGCACAATTTGTAAACAAGAATAGATGCCTCACTATCAGTGTTCGTTTAGTATCCGAGGAGATTAAAAGCATTAATTTTCATAATTCACATAATAGTTTCCTATGACCAGAATATTTCATTGATTTTTTTTATGTGAAAGATGGATCCCATGTCAGGCTTTGACATCCGTCTTGTGTTTACATTATCGCCAAGAGTACTGCAGTACAAAAGATGTGAACACTTCTCTAACTCTAACTGATTATTTTTTTCCTGTATAGTTGTACAATTTAGCACTATAAAGTACTTGTTGTTAGCTTTGGGTGTAAAGAAGTAATTGACAAAATTATCATCAATGTTTGCTTGAAATCTTGAGACCTTCGAGACCTTTAATAATCACGAATCTAATGAACATGGAGAAGAGATGAACCACAAACTTAGGAGTTCAACCAGTTTTTAATTCCCCTGGTCAAGCAGAAGGGAAGTGACTCAATTTAGTTTTGGAGTTCAGCTACTTCTTGTATTCATTAATTCTAATCCCTTGTACCTTTACGACTTACCATATTTGTGTAAATTGGTTTCAAAA